TAACGGCGCTGACCATTCTTGGGCCTATTTTTTTTTCACGGAGACATTTAGCAACTGATTGATGGGAGACCGACGGCACCGAACTTGCCTTGAAGTTCAACGGTACAATGCTTAGTACTCGCATCACTAGGAGCATGCACGATTTTTCATCATCTAGTGGCGCCCACAAGAAAAATAGTCAATGGGTGAAATTAATGCGCGTGGGAGGGTAACATACCAGTGCCAAAACTGGGACCGCCACTAAATGCCCTGCTGGACCAAAGGTGCCCATGCATCACTCCTGCCCTGACAAGTTCCAGGAACAAATAGAGGGGATCTTGGAATTTGTCGTTCACTCGAGCCTGCTTAATCGCAACATACATAGCGCGCGCCAGCGGGGAGTGCGTATGCGTGGTCAAAAGGAACCTGACAACAAATTCAATTCGAAATGCGACATGGGAAAAATGATGTCCGAAATAGAACGGACAAGTTACTTACCCGCGCAACTCCAAAAATCTCCAAATAACGTTGGCTACGACTTCGTCTTTCTTATCGAGCGCTCCTTGGGAGGCCTTGCTCTTGGTACGCGCAGCATACCTTTCAGATGCAGTAGCGCCCAAGCACAGCGCAAAATCAATTGTTGACGACTGTCATCGCGAAGCGGAGAAAAAGAAGGCAGCCGTTAATGGATATTTCTTCCTCGATGATAATTACGCAGGCTTACGTTTTGCCTCCTCAACTCTTCCTCAACGATAGCATATGGAACGTTCCATCCAGATACCCTCTCTGTTAATTGGGCTGTCTGCGTAGCGTTGTGCAGGATAGCCTTCTGGGGATGGGAAGGCTGCTCGAACCAGAAGTGGCCATGAACCTTCCTGTTAGCCCAGAACGTGTGGCAAACGCTGCTGATGAGAGCAAGAGAAGTCGCACGAGGGCCGGTCTGACCATCCGTAATGACTTCTTTGACGAAGCGTTTATACTCAGTAGTTTCGCCGTTGTCCAAGGGCGGATTTTCCGTAATCTGTCCGGTGGTGAGCCAGACAAGCGCTTGGGGACTGAGAAGTCCCCGTGAGAGGTAAAAGTAGATCTCGTCCGGGAGTCGGTTGGTGAATATTTCGTGCAGGTCCGACGGGATATCTGATGCGGTGGGGTGAATATGGTGGTTGTTAGAATGTCCATGAGAAGGAGCTGCTAAAGCTAGAGGAAGAGGCTGGACTGCTCCTTCCGAGGAGAGGATGAGAGAGTATTTGATCATGGAGCGCGTGCGCGCGTAGTGATCGGCGTACTGCATTTGCTTCACTGCTGGATGGTCGGCGAATACACTGACGGCAGCATGGCCTGACTTGTAGTACCTGACCATATCAACGGTAGCTTTTAAGGCTTGTTCGTGAACGGTGGGAGGGAATGGCATGGAATGATCGCATCCGACGAGAATGCCAATGTCGAGGAATTGGTCATCGTTAACGGCGAGCTCCTGCAGAATGGATCGCTTGGACACGAAGGTGAAGGATGGAGTGGGAGAGAGAAGGTCAAGCGATGTAATAAGTTTATCGACACCAGGGTAAAGGAGCGTATCTGTTGGTCCAAAGATTGCATGGATATAAGATTTTGGATGTCGTTGAAGATAGTACAGCTGAAAGTCGTCAGACACGATTTATAAATAGATTGGTGTGCAAAACATACCTGAGCCCATGCGACGTAGGGCGCAATCATAAATTCCACATTTCGGTGCCTAAAAATCCTCAGAATCATCCTCCAAAGATCCCACTGCGCATAGCATGTTCGGCCCTCGAAAAGTTTGCTAGCAGCATCTTCTTGACCAGACTCATACTTGGTCCAAGCGGCGTTCCTATCCCGACACGCTTCGGTTTGTTCGTGGTAGTTGTTTTGCTTCCAGCGTTTATTCGGTAAAAGACCTGGAAATACAAAGACAGGCTTTATACGTAGCTTTTCGAGAGCTCGCAGGTCGGACTCGACGCGTTGGGTTAGCGCCAAAGGAAGACCACCAGTTGCGGCTAGGAGAGGCTCGCGTGAAGGAGGGTTATCAGTGAGCTGCTGAAGATAGTACGAAGCATCGATGCCTAGTCGTGAATCAGAGAGCACAGACAACGGTAGCGTTTGCAGATGTTTTCGTTCGAAAAGATACCCTGATTTTGAAAACAGTCTCAGTAAGTCAAATTCAACGGCGCGAGTGTCCTTCAAGCCACTGATGTAAACATACCCTCAAGGTGTTTGATAGGCATTTGAATGGTAGTCCAAGCTGTGCTAGCGTGTGGATATGTGAATTGGCTGTCGTTGACGTTGCCAACAACATCCAAAGCAACGCACTACAAAGCTTACGTAACATCAATGAGCTGTGAGCTTCTTTCGTCTCACCTTCGCTGGCCAAGTCGACGCCATTAATTTGGAGCTCTTTTTTACTTGCACAGGGACAAATTTCTTCTGTCTAGAGACAAAACGTAATTTTTTTCAGCCATCGGACTTTTTTTCTTGAATTCCTATCAATCTCATTCTTGTAGATTCGCTGACAACGCCATATTTTGATATTGTATCTGGTTGCAGATGCATGTGCTGGCCTCTGTACAAGACCCGCTGTGTTCGCAACAGTTCACAAGGCTCTAAACGGATGTGTTGTGGAATTATCAGAGCCACAGGATGCCGTGATGCTGCCTGGTGATCTTTCTCACTTCAATATTGTACAAGATTGTATGATGTTGTTCGTGGATTGAACTACCGATGTACTGCTCAAGGATATCCCGGGATACTCTTTGGGGCTTGAGGACGTGCATACGACTGCTGACGTGCCGCCCTGACCACAACTGGTAAGCAACCGTCAGGTACACCACCGGCTTTCAAGGTTGCCTTGCGCCCTTGTATGTGGATTGATCTGCGAACACCGCGCAACTTTCCTACGCATTAACTCATATGGATTGCTGTGGGTTACTTGTTTCAGTAATCGATACAGAGCTGTGCGCCGCACTGTACTCACTTGGCGCGCGCTGTCAAACTTGTTTCGTCAAATCCTCGAAATGCGGTACCTTTCTTCATCACTCGAATCACGATCATCAAGCCACCATCGAAATATGTCGAGAAACATGACGGATGGTGGTGGCAGGCACCTACCAACGATCTCAACTCAACTTGTAACAAGATCTATGAGGTCATCTGACGATGGATTCATAGTCACGAAGGAATAAACCATCATGGACTTTTGAAGCCGGTATGTACGATCCGGGTCGCATATGCGTGTGATTAAGGTAACCTTTCTCTCCCCCTCCTGATCATTCCAGGTCTCGCGGCTCCTCAACCGGTTAATTGGCCCATTGAGGAAACTCTGATTTCTCCTCGAGCTCAGAACCTTAGTATGATCACATTGTCCAAAATCTTCTCCGATTGCTTCGAGTGAATTCTTCTGTTCCATGGACTGGACATGGTCTCGGCCTTCGTCAGGAAGAGCAGACTACCTCGTTTCTGCGCCCCACAGCGTGAGATACACCTTGGCCTACGCTTGCGCATTCCCTCGACCCCTGACGAGACAATGCGACCAACGACCTTCCTAATGGCGACAATAGCCTTCATTCAACCTACGTATAAGCTTGATAGGCCCGAATATTCAGCGCTCGTCATAGGGCCACTCGTCACCTGCTTATACTTCCGGTTTTCCATCCAGGCGGTGATCGCTTCTTTGGTAGCAGATGGTGCGCGCCCATTGAACCGCGCTGTTGGCGGTCCTGTCAGGTTTATGGTGTATGTCAATTGTGTACATCGTCACAGGTTCGGCTACTTACTGTCATCCTCCGAGTGCAGAACATCCATTTGATAGAAGGGCATTAGAGTCGGCGGATGTGAATCTGACATCCGTCTACCTTTCGTTCATTGGCTACCAGACGGTCGTTAGAGCGGCCCCTGTACTCGGAGTGAGTTAGCTTTCTGCACGTACGCTCAAACTGTGAGAGAACGTGTAGGGTCGAGTCGGACCTTCAAGGTTTGAAGCAACTGAGTGACTAAACTTGCAATTGCAAGGTAGGTAGTAGCATTTTGTACGGAATACTGCATTAGATCCCCATTGGTATAACGATTGATTACCTGTATTAAGTTGGTGTGAGAGTGTGGTGAAGATCCTCTACAAGAAAGCGATGGTGACCGCGTAAATCGGGGCACCTAGGAGCGTTGACTCCCCTTGTGCGGCGCAAAGTGGGGTCTGGGACGGGGAAAAGTTCAGTCGCGCACTATTTCTTGACATCTGATGTATTGTTAGCTCACCATGTACGAACACAACGTACGAATGAATTGAATAGGCTTGGGGGTTAAGAAGCCGATAGGAATTACGCAGAGCCCTTGTTTCCATTCTACCTAGTCTTGTGCCATTCTGGCATGAGGGTAAAAGGGCGGTCGCCACTGTGACACGACTCAGACAGATGAACTGAATGCAATCGGATCACCTATTCTGTACCGAGGTAGAGCAATATATTGTCAAGGAGAGCATGTATTTCAGACAGTTTAAGCATGGGGCTAATCGTTCAGAATGAGCAGGGATAATGCCATGTTTCATGCACTCCAGGTTCACCTTTTTCAACCGTTTTCTACCCTCATAAACATATTTCTATAAGGGTGGGTGGTTAAAAGAACAATCAGGAAAGACCCCCTGAGCAACAGCTCTCTTCGTAATTCCGATCTAATTATAAGTAGTATATTTATGAGAATGTGCACGTCTTAAATTACGTTTGTCTTCAGTCAGTGGTGAACCAGTGACGAAACTTCACCACAAGAGGTTCCGGCTATCAAAATTAGTGTGTTCGTGAGAACATCACTCAGATGAATCACAGTTACTTCTTCCCCTTCAGAACTCTTTCAGGTCTAAGAAGCCGGTATTCTCAAGTTCGACACTTATCACACTGTCCTTTTCTTCACAATCGACTCTTTTAAATACATTATTTTGCTTGATCTGCCGTTAGAGATACCTTTGCAAAACTGACGTAAGCATTTGCAGTATGGTGTAACGTCTGTTCAATCACATCATTGGTAACATGGCCGAGTGGTCTAAGGCGTTGGATTTAAGCAATCTTGATTCCCAATGGGTGTGAACCCGCGCGAGTTCAAACCTCGCTGTTACCACGATTGTTGATCCCTTTTTTCTTCTCTGTTTTCAGAACCTCGGCTTCAGATACTTTCATAGCATTCTTCGCAGCCTTGATCCCTTTTTTCCGAATACCCTGTTTTTGGAGCATCAACATTACCCAAATCAAACTATCAAACACAGACTCCCTGGCTCAAGCCTGCGTCTCGCTAACTTCCACTACGACTGGGTCGAGTCTATCTTATCAGTCAGCATCAGTTAATCAGTAGCTGCAATGGATGAAGAACGTTGAGACAACTGGGGCTTCATGCACGTCTGTTCAACCGCGGCATTTGTGTACCAATACCGTTGTCGGGTATGGCTCAGGCGTACCAAAGAATCCTAGCGGCATTGTTCGTCGGCCCTCTTACGATTATTTCCTTTGTGCTACTCAAACTATTCGATGCGTCAGCCAACCCTGGTTCGTCTGGTGGTTCGAGGCTCATGTCTGTAGTAACCGGCTGTCAGGCAGGGACGACGACTCCCATCACCTTACGCCCTTGCGGGTTTCTGTTGGCTTTTTATGTTCTCGAAAATGTGACGGACGTTTGGGATTACTTCTGGCCGTGCTGGATGCTCAGTGATAACATACTATGCCGAAGTCGATGTGATGCCGCGTGGCCACTGGCAGATACCATGTATTAAGTTTCCTACATGTCCTGATTGAAAGCTTGGATTTTACAAGTGTGGTGCTCTCAGGCTGTCATTTTCGCCGGTGGTAGCGCATCGCCTTCTTGGCATGTGTGCATTCTTCAAGGCTCGTTGGATTCGCTATCCCACATCCAAGGCTCACTGTGCCGTAGTATTTCCGCTTCAAATGCTGATCAATAACGGCTTGACTCTTGATGAACACAAGTATGTAGGAAGCGAGCGCTTAAGGGCTGCGACTTTTGCCAACCCTGCTTGCCGATGGGAACATGAAGATGATCCACGCGGAACTCGACTCGGAACTATGTCTTCACGGACGGCGACGTGCTGGAGGCTGCTTCGTACTCACTTGTAGATTGCAATATCTCCAAGCAAAAACGCTCCGAAACCCGGACACGGTCACCACATAGCTCCAGAAGTTCGGATCTCTGGATAGATTCGGTAGCTATGAGTTTCTATTCGTAGCCACAACGACAGTTCCTCATGTTACACACACGGCCCATGCGGTGGATTGTAACGACTTCAATTATGAAGATATTTGATTATGGAATAAATACCTAGGCTACGTAGAATCTCTCAACAGGAAGTAACTGGTGGAAGAAGACTATGAGAATAAAATAATGATAAAATTTCTAGATGGAGATATTAATCTTTATGCACACAAAGTAGAGTATCACATCCATCAATCAAGCTCTTTCAAACGATACGAGTTGGTAGCATGCATATGTACAAACGCTCGAGGAATAGCGCTTAAACTGTACTAATCGATAAAGTTGTCGATGAGGCTTATCAGAATTCAACTGATTTACGGTTCCCTAAGTAGGCATACCGCCATCGAGAGCCGCTAATCCAGTGGAGCATTCTATGTGCTTCTTAACAAGTTCCGTATCCCCATATGCAACCTTAAAAGATTTCAGTTGAGAAATGAGGAAGGACAAAAATAATAAGAAGCTTTGGTGTGAACGCAGCGGTTGACTGTGTTTATCGCCCGGCGTCAAAAGGGCCGTGAAGGTGTACTAAGGGTACGACGCACCCATGTCAATGGATACTACATTGTAACATGAGCTTCTACATAGGAAATATGCGATGCCCGGCCTTCTTGGTGCCTACTGGAAAAAAGGAAAGAGGGAAAGCAGAGAGCCTGGCCGGGTATCTAAATGTCGTTGCCTTGTGGTTAGGCCAAAAATCCTATAAGATCACTCCCACCCATACACCAGGCGACACAAAGAGCATTCCCGGAGCTTCTGAATCCCCGTCGCACTTAGCACACAAGCGTAAGTATTGGAGCCATGTCTCAAAAGGGCGGCCCGGCAACAGTGATGAACTGCTAGGCATGGGAGCGACATCGCATTATTTGTTCCAGCAGTGATGGAAATAGTGAAAACATCGCCGGTGAGGGCGCAGACGCGGGAAGCAAACTATATGAGAGTTCCGACTCGGAGTAAAGCAGAATTGTGCTGCGACCATTTTATCATGATTTTGGAAACAGACCCAAGGTAGCAGATCGTCTGTTATGAAACATCTCGAGGGATAACATTGCCACGGGTTAGTACCGGGCAATGACAGAACTCTGCTTTCGATTTCCTAGTTAGTGTCAACAAGAGCAGTGTACGGCGTTGGAAGTGATCAAAAAGTGCATAGTTACGCGTATGGCAGTTGGATTTCTGAAGTTCAATATGAGATCCCCACGAAAAGGGTAGAGGTATCGACACATACAGTTTGCAACTTGGAGGCGGCACCGTATTTTAGAAAATATATACGTGAACTAAGTTCGGCTGCCAGGCATTATGTGAATCAGAGAAACAACCTGTGGGAGGCAAATCATGATTTACTTCTATGGTATAGATAGATGCCTTGAATGATTCTTCGTGCAGCGCCTTACGATATCGCAGGTCATGAACAAGTGTTAATGTTACCTCACAGTAGAAGTGCGGGGTAACACTAGAAGTTGTCCTTGGCAGAGCTGAGGACAGGCTAGAGATTGACCTGAGAAAATATATAAAGATCCACGTGTGAGACCCTTCGCGAGCCGAGTCGGAGGGTATTGATAAAGAGGAATGGGTCGAATGAACCTGCAGAGTGGTACCGTATTGGAGGGATGAATCGTCCGGAGTATTGTGTTGAAGTCACGGTGCCTGCCTGGCAGTGCTTCGAAGACCCACACTGTGCCGAATAGATGCACAGTGAATTCGAAGTTTCACAGTTGCTCAGAATTGCACACAGTTGTCAAGTTGGTACAAGGGATGGCAGTGGCGTGGGTGGGACCTATGAAAATGAAGTTGATGAGTTTGGAAGAGATATCCTGGGGACGCGAATATCGAACCTACAGATGGAATGCACCCGATTTCTGCAAGGCTTGGTCGCCGTATCATACAGTGTATATAGAAGCTCAAGCGTGGTCGATAGATTATATAGAGAGTGCAGTTTTCGGCATCCTGATCATATTCATTATTATCAGCCGCATGGAGGAAAACGGACGTCGAAGACAGGATAGACTTACTCACGACTATCGCGACTGATGCAAAGTTGAAAGGTCCGGCGTCTCCGAACGAAGCCGCGTTAGGACGCGCTACACATCCGGATGGATAGCATAGTTGAGCCCTCAAACCAGTTCTAGATAAATTTATACATACGCCTCCGAATTAAGATTGAGCTTCGCGGCATAAGAAAGTCCAACATCGCTTTACTAGTGCTACATGGAAGAATACGTGCAAATCTGTGGAAATCACGGGAATTCAGACTGATGTCCTGGATGATTTGGATCGTAACTGAGAAACGCTGTCACGCACCAGCGGCAGTTCAACCATACTTCCTAAATCCCTAGGTCTGAGTGCCAACAAAAATGTACAACACAGTGGGAGACTAGTATACCAGTGTCCTTCCCAGTCGCGGTGTGTGTTTAAACTTGAACAATAAATCAACAACCGTGGCTGACGGATGTTCATGTTCATGTGCGCAGCAGATCTCATAGTAGCCCACGAAGTGCCTGGGAAGATATGGAATATCTGGGTTTTGCTTTTTCTGGCCATCTCTCTACCGAGGCAGTCCCTGCACTGGGTGACAAGTCGTGAGCTCGAGTGTTCTATTGTGTATACCCCGCTGAGAGTCAGCGCTTGCTGAGAGAGCTGTGAATGCTAGGATGACAGTTGCTGTGACTTCTGGTCCCTGACAGCGCTTTCTGTATGTTTGACAGCTAGTGGGAGCGCAATATATGAGCACGAACACAAGAGTCGGGGCAAATTGGTAGTCAGGGTGTGAAGCAAAAAACCCATTCACCCGTTCATCATATCTCACATCACATCACATCACGCCCATCACACTTGAAAGACTGTTCTGTCATCACTCACTCACACAATGTCACCTACGAGTGGGCGACCGTCGACAAAAGCATGAAACTCGTTTTAGATGTAGTGGCACTTCGGACTACTTGCGCTTCGAAAGTTCTAAGAAACCGTCATATCTTACGAAACTGCTCTCGCGCAGTCAGTCAAGCTCCTCGGATGGATGAATCTGAAGTCGAAGTTACCATCCAAGCTAAATTAATTTTTACATCTTGTAAATTGTACGAGTACGCTAACGATTTTGAACATTCGCCATTCAGAAGGACACCCACATTCTTGACGAGCTATAAATTGTTGAAAGACAATCTCTTCAACACTGTTAATCTTCAAGGGTCTTCAAGAAATCGGCGTGAGCCATCCAAGTAGTTGGTCAGATACCACCGCCTCTGCTGATAACAGCCGACTTCATGAAGTGCTTTGTAGGCTCATCTGAATATATGTCATTATAAATACATTTATCTGATTGACTCGGAGAAACAACAGAAAATTGAATGCATCCGCCAATGGCCACATCGTGTCAATGATCACCATAAATTTGTTTTTGCTTCGTATGGACCAGTTCCATCCATCTTCGACCTCTCGACTTAGAGGAGCAGTAAAGCAGACCAAACCAAACTACCAAGAAAAGATAAAACACAATCAAGCGGCCCTGTACTATGACAGTTTGCTTCCCAATCGCAATCGCGGCGCGCATGAACGAAGCCTCTCCTAACGTGCTCCAGGGCCTTGATGGACAACCAAGTCAGATCTTGATAAATTTATGTGCGCCTCAGAGCCGCGACCGAGCTTCGTGGCAGAACAAGCTGCGTGTAATCGACTGATTATTGGACGCGGCGAGATTCTAACGGAGATCTGTGAAAGGGTACTGGGATTCAGACGTTGTTAATCACCAAAAGACAAAAGATAAGACCTTGGCAGGAACAGTGGGTGCCTGCAAATCAATTTGCTTCTCATTCGCGATTTTCTAGTATTTGACAAAAGCGATTGGGGATGCTTCTGTGCGCATGCAC